GTGTGTGCACTACACCCTGTGTATATCGTGTGTGCACTACACCCTGTGTATATAGTGTGTGCACTACACCCTGTGTATATCGTGTGTGCACTACACCCTGTGTATATCGTGTGTGCACTACACCCAGTATATATCGTGTGTGCACTACACCCTGTATATATTGTGTGTGCACTACACCCTGTGTATATCGTGTGTGCACTACACCCTGTATATATTGTGTGTGCACTACACCCTGTATATATCGTGTGTGCACTACACCCTGTGTATATCGTGTGTGCACTACACCCTGTGTATATCGTGTGTGCACTACACCCTGTGTATATCGTGTGTGCACTACACCCTGTGTATATCGTGTGTGCACTACACCCTGTGTATAACGTGTGTGCACTACACCCTGTGTATATCGTGTGTGCACTACACCCTGTGTATATCGTGTGTGCACTACACCCTGTGTATAACGTGTGTGCACTACACCCTGTGTATAACGTGTGTGCACTACACCCTGTGTATATTGTGTGTGCACTACACCCTGTGTATATTGTGTGTGCACTACACCCTGTGTATATCGTGTGTGCACTACACCCTGTGTATATCGTGTGTGCACTACACCCTGTGAATATCGTGTGTGCACTACACCCTGTGTATAACGTGTGTGCACTACACCCTGTGTATATTGTGTATGCACTACACCCTGTGTATATTGTGTGTGTACTACACCCTGTGTATATTGTGTGTGCACTACACCCTGTGTATATCGTGTGTGCACTACACCCTGTATATATCGTGTGTGTACTACACCCTGTATATAACGTGTGTGCACTACACCCTGTGTATATTGTGTGTGCACTACACCCTGTGTATATTGTGTGTGCACTACACCCTGTGTATATCGTGTGTGCACTACACCCTGTGTATATCGTGTGTGTACTACACCCTGTGTATATTGTGTGTGCACTACACCCTGTGTATATCGTGTGTGTACTACACCCTGTGTATATCGTGTGTGTACTACACCCTGTGTATATCGTGTGTGCACTACACCCTGTGTATATCGTGTGTGTACTACACCCTGTGTATATCGTGTGTGCACTACACCCTGTGTATATCGTGTGTGCACTACACCCTGTGTATATCGTGTGTGTACTACACCCTGTGTATATCGTGTGTGCACTACACCCTGTGTATATTGTGTGTGCACTACACCCTGTGTATATCGTGTGTGTACTACACCCTGTGTATATCGTGTGTGCACTACACCCTGTGTATATCGTGTGTGCACTACACCCTGTGTATATCGTGTGTGTACTACACCCTGTGTATATCGTGTGTGCACTACACCCTGTGTATATCGTGTGTGTACTACACCCTGTGTATATCGTGTGTGCACTACACCCTGTGTATATCGTGTGTGCACTACACCCTGTGTATATCGTGTGTGTACTACACCCTGTGTATATCGTGTGTGCACTACACCCTGTGTATATCGTGTGTGTACTACACCCTGTGTATATCGTGTGTGCACTACACCCTGTGTATATCGTGTGTGCACTACACCCTGTGTATATCGTGTGTGCACTACACCCTGTGTATATCGTGTGTGTACTACACCCTGTGTATATCGTGTGTGCACTACACCCTGTGTATATCGTGTGTGTACTACACCCTGTGTATATCGTGTGTGCACTACACCCTGTGTATATCGTGTGTGCACTACACCCTGTGTATATCGTGTGTGCACTACACCCTGTGTATATCGTGTGTGTACTACACCCTGTGTATATCGTGTGTGCACTACACCCTGTGTATATCGTGTGTGTACTACACCCTGTGTATATCGTGTGTGCACTACACCCTGTGTATATCGTGTGTGCACTACACCCTGTGTATATCGTGTGTGCACTACACCCTGTGTATATCGTGTGTGTACTACACCCTGTGTATATCGTGTGTGCACTACACCCTGTGTATATCGTGTGTGTACTACACCCTGTGTATATCGTGTGTGCACTACACCCTGTGTATATCGTGTGTGCACTACACCCTGTGTATATCGTGTGTGCACTACACCCTGTGTATATCGTGTGTGTACTACACCCTGTGTATATCGTGTGTGCACTACACCCTGTGTATATCGTGTGTGCACTACACCCTGTATATATCGTGTGTGTACTACACCCTGTGTATATCGTGTGTGCACTACACCCTGTGTATATCGTGTGTGCACTACACCCTGTGTATATCGTGTGTGCACTACACCCTGTGTATATCGTGTGTGTACTACACCCTGTGTATATCGTGTGTGCACTACACCCTGTGTATATCGTGTGTGCACTACACCCTGTGTATATCGTGTGTGTACTACACCCTGTGTATATCGTGTGTGCACTACACCCTGTGTATATCGTGTGTGCACTACACCCTGTATATATCGTGTGTGCACTACACCCTGTGTATATCGTGTGTGCACTACACCCTGTATATATTGTGTGTGCACTACACCCTGTGTATATTGTGTGTGCACTACACCCAGTGTATATCGTGTGTGCACTACACCCTGTATATATTGTGTGTGCACTACACCCTGTGTATATCGTGTGTGCACTACACCCTGTATATATTGTGTGTGCACTACACCCTGTGTATATCGTGTGTGCACTACACCCTGTGTATATCGTGTGTGTACTACACCCTGTGTATATCGTGTGTGCACTACACCCTGTGTATATTGTGTGTGCACTACACCCTGTGTATATCGTGTGTGCACTACACCCTGTGTATATCGTGTGTGCACTACACCCTGCGTATATCGTGTGTGCACTACACCCTGCGTATATCGTGTGTGCACTACACCCTGTGTGTATCGTGTGTGCACTACACCCTGTGTGTATATCACGTGTTGTGGTATCGGTGTTGAGAGCACAGCAGATCTCTCCCTGCTCACAGCAACGACATCAGTTGCATCCCCGTCACGTCTGCGACTCGCATCACACGGCTCACCCCCCCCCCCCCCCCTGTTAGAGCAGAGCCGCCACCCCCGGTGAACCGGATGTCGAGTGACAGACGTCCCCATCGCGACACCACGTGAACCCAGAGCTCGGACAGCCTCGGGCACCCTGACCCCGATCCCCACGAGGGGACCCTGACCCTCCCAGCCCAGCGCACGCCAGCAGATGGCGACGAAGGCCTCGCGAAGCACGGGCCCACGACCCTGGCCGCTAACACACAATACACACCCAGGACACTCGATATAACACACACATCTCCCACATAACCTGAGGCTCTTGGGACAAGCGCTGTTAGCGAGCACCTATGAAGGCCGTGGGCACGGCACACGAGGGGGGGTGGGTGGCCAGCCCCACGCCCGGCCGCCTTTGTCTCCCAGTGGCGATGCTTGCACATTGCACCAGGTACCCATTAGAGGCTGAGTCGGCCTAGGGGAGGTCCAGGACCGGTTCAATTAAACGCCACTGTGGCGCACACAATATACGCACAATACTGTACATACATACGGCACTACATACACAATACATACAATATCCAAAGCACATTGACAAAATACACAGTGCACCCATAGCCATAGCACACACACACAGTAACATATTGCAGACGAAGAACACCTGAGCACAGTAACACGGGAACATTCAGCCAATGCGACGCTAGTACTGTATGCTGCTCTTCTTTCGCACCGTACGTAGCCAACCGTGATAATAGGAGGTGCAGGGGAAGGACAACAGAAGAAGAAGCAAGCCCCGTGGGGTGCAGCAGCTGCAGCAGCAGCAGCACAACCCCATGACGTTGCACTCTGCTTCTATGCCTCCAACGCCGATGCAACCACCAACCCGCGCTGACCGCTGTGGCAAATCTTCACGGTCACATACCCCCCCCCCACCACGACCCACACGGCGTGGGGCGGCCTTCATCCAGCAGTGGGTCGACCACGCGCGTTCATGCCGCGCTGAGCCGGGAACGACCCCAGGGAGGCGAGGCACAGGCCGTGCCGATCGGGGGCGCTGCGCTCAGGGGACCCCGCCGGTCGCACCTGTCCCACTCTCGCTGCGCAGAGGGGGTCGGGTTTCTCTCTCTCTCTCTCTGTGCCAGAACAACACAAACCTTGTGCTGCTCTCGGCTGCTGAGCGAGGGCAACAAAGCCAGAAGAGAGAACACGCGGGTCGTCGCGGGGAGACGAGCAGGGTCCAGTTTCACAAAACTCACATTGGGACTCGATCAGCAGATATTGCGCCTACTTCACGCGTCTAAACAACACGACGCATCGCGTGCCAATAGCACCGTGGCTCTAAAGAATAAATATATATATCATAGGAAACGTTACAGGCAATGGCCGTTCTTCATATCACGTAGAAAAGCCAGGGAGAGGTTGTGTAGATAAGAGTTTGCAACTTCACTTAATAGCACGGGGACCTGGTAAGAATTCACTATTGAAAATGTTTCCTGATTCACAGTTGAAAAATGGGCATATGTCGATATTGAGAAACAGGCATTTGCTACTAATAAACTCGTATTAAAAGTAAAATGTTTCTGGCACGTTACTTTATGGGTAACAATTTTTAAATCAGGCCAATGAACATCAATTCACATAATCCACTCGGTGATGCGTTCTCGGGCCCAATGATTGCATCTATCCCTCCACCTGTATGTATATGTAAAAGCACGTTTCAAACATCCTGTCAGCCACATGGCCTCTCTGGGAATGCATCATTTCAGCAGCTCCAGTTCAATACAAGCAAAGCTCTGGACCGGTATCAACATTCAGCAATTCATCAGCCGTCAGTAGCACTTGAATCAATATTGAGAATCGCTGTGCAGGACAAGCCGAGCCAGCTTTATGCACAAAGCTGCTTGGTCGGAAAGTCGAACGGTTCCCCGTGTCCCAGCAGCAGCAGCAGCAGCCACTTAGTGGCATAACTAACTGGCTGCTGCTGCTGGTTTAAATGACCGATGTCCCGACGATCCCCGTGTCGCCACTCACACGGGGCCGCGGACAGCGTTCGTATCATTTATTTCAATACGGCGCGGGCGTCGTGTACAAAACATCTCGTTACACTCCAACAACGTAATTCCGTGTTACAGTCCAGTGTGTTGCGCCGTGTGCGTACAAAGAGACGCCCACGAGCCCCGTCCCCCAGGGTCCCTGTGTCTCTCCAGCAACGTCTCCGTGTCTTCCCAGCAGGGTCCCTATGCCCCAGGGTCCCTGGTTCTCCTCAGGGTCTCCGTGTCTGCCCAGCAGGGTCCCCATGCCCCTTGTTTCTTCCTGGGGTCCCCCGTGTCTCCCCGTGTCTCCCCGAGACCCCCTCGCTGTGAAAGTTAAGACGCGGAGGAGCCCTTCTCCTGGACCCGTGCGTGCCATGCCACCCCCCCCCCCCCCCCACTTCAAGCTGGCCCACAAGGTCCCATCTATGGCAGACCTGGGGTGGGGGGGGGGCACTCCAATCCAAACGGAGGGTGCTCCAGTCTATAGAGAAGTTGGGCTCAGTATACGCGCATTGGGGGGCTCCAGCCCATGGCCTCTTGGGCCCTCGTCCTCTTTCCACGGGTGTCAGGGGGAGGCCACGCGGTGGGGAGGCCACCGAAGCCGCGATGCAGGGGGGGGGGGGGGCACGCGGTGGGGAGGGGGTGGTGGAAGAGGAGGCCATGGGCCGGGGGGACGCCCTCGGGGGTCCTCTCCTTTTCCTCCTCGCCGTGGGGGGCTCGTGGGGAAACCAAAGGCGCCTCTCCCCAACTCCGCCCAGTCCCAAGATGTCACGGAGGTAGGTGCTGCCCACAGCTCAGGGCGGCCTGGGCCTGCCGAGCTTTGTTCAAGTGACTCCAGGTCCTTCCTTCGGCGGCGGCGGCGTTCGCCCAGGAACGCTCGCCGCGTCCACCCCTCTGGGCGGCCTCAGCATCCCCACGGCCGCGGCCGCTGCCTCACGCCGCTCTCCCTGCCCGGCTCACTGCTCGGGCGGGGGGCGCAGTGACTTGAGCTTGCGGTCGTCCAGCGCTTTCCAGTAGCGGTAGTTGGTGCTCAAGTGCTGCATGAGGTTCGGCAGCTCCGCGTAAGCTGTGGGGGGCGGGGTAATGCACGCACGCCAGAGGATTTACAGGGCGTTTCGGAGTGAACTCGTGCTGGATCCCGAACGCCACCGGGAATTGCCCGTGAATCTGCGTGATGTTCGCGTCGCAGAAAGTCACTGGATTATTGCTAACGAATCACCAAGTTTAGTGACAATCGCCGAGTTGGCAACGCCTCGATCCCCGACGCCCCCCACTCCCCCCCGTGTCTCACCGTCCCACGCGTCGAACATGTCGGTGATGAAGTAGTCGATGAATGAGATCTGGGACTTGGGGACGCTGCACGTGCAGCGGTCGAACACGGGCATCACCACAGGCAGCCCCTTCCGTTTCTCCTCGTCCGTCTGCAGGGCACACCATAATCATCACCACCACCACCACCATAATCACCACCATTATCACCATCATCACCACCACCATTATCACCATCATCACCACCACCATTATCACCATCATCACCAAAACCACCACCACCATCATCACCACCATCTCCACAGACGTGCGTATGTGCACGTGGGTATGTGCACGTGGTGGTATGTGCACGTGCGTGCCTGTGCGAAGTACTCCTCCGAGATGCGCCCGGCCCACTCGACGCAGAGCGCGAGCGGGCGGCACGGGTTGCACACGTCGGCGCACTTGATGAGCATGCGCTTGACGAGGAGGCGCATCTCGGGGGTGCTCGGGGGGCCCGGCCCCCCACCCGAGTCATCCTCGCTGCTGCTCCCATTCTGGGGGAGAGGGGGGGGGACACGCGTCACCAATGCGCGTGTGCGTCTACACGGCTCACGGGCGTCGTTGACCCAGGCCGCCCTTGCGAATGAGGCTCCTGGCAGTACGATGTGCACTAGCGAGATGCCATGCCGTGGTCCGCTCGCCACGCCGAGGGCTTCAGGAGCGAGTTCGTGCAGTCTGGCTGCTCCTCCTCAATTGAAGGGGCGCAGACGACATTGCTTCACTGTATATGGTGCGTAGTTTGTCGTTTACGGCGTAGGTCCGTGGTTCCATCTTACCGTATGCGAGTGTATAGACTACAAGCCGTCTGTTCTACAGCGGCTGTTAAAGATCCCATGACATAATTCAAAGAAGAGTCGGCAATTGTGTGCTGGAGTCACGGTCTAATTCGCCCCCCTGATGTGAAAAACAGGAGCCTCCTGAAAAAGAGTATTGAGGCCCATTGAGGCTTTCCTGGGAAAACAATCTAAATATTAATGTCATAAATAGCGCCCTTGCCTGGCAATGCGTCGTGCAGTCTCTAGCGTGCCCACGTGGTCTGTGAGTGGTCTGGTGATGTGTGGGGAGCAGTGGCACAGTGGTTGGTGCACTGTGCTACGAATCCGGCGATCCGAGTTCGATTCTGCGCTCATGGACAACATCGGTGACCAATATCTGAAGCGGTCCGGGGCATCCTCTAGGTCGACTCAGCCTCAAATCAGTACCTGGTGCGACGTGTAAACATCGTCACTAGGGAGACAAAGGCGACCGGGCGTGGTCCGAGCTTCCCATCCCTTCGTGTGCCGTGTAAAGTCAATACCGGGGACCTTTGTCTTTGCACACGCGTGTGCGCGTGCGTGCACACGTGTGTGCGCCCGTGTGTCACCGTGTTCGTGCACGCACACGCGTGTGCTCGTGTGTGCGTGCGTGTGTCACCGTGTTCGTGCACGCACAACCGTGTGCTCGTGTGTGCGCGTGTGCTCGTGTGTGTGCGTGTGCTCGTGTGTGTGCGTGTGCTCGTGTGTGCGCGCGTGCTCGTGTGTGTGCGTGTGCTCGTGTGTGCGCGTGTGCTCGTGTGTGTGCGTGTGCTCGTGTGTGCGCGTGTGCTCGTGTGTGCGCGTGTGCTCGTGTGTGCGCGCGTGCTCGTGTGTGTGCGTGTGCTCGTGTGTGCGCGTGTGCTCGTGTGTGTGCGTGTGCTCGTGTGTGCGCGTGTGCTCGTGTGTGTGCGTGTGCTCGTGTGTGTGCGTGTGCTCGTGTGTGTGCGTGTGCTCGTGTGTGCGCGCGTGCTCGTGTGTGTGCGTGTGCTCGTGTGTGTGCGTGTGCTCGTGTGTGTGCGTGTGCTCGTGTGTGCGCGCGTGCTCGTGTGTGTGCGTGTGCTCGTGTGTGTGCGTGTGCTCGTGTGTGTGCGTGTGCTCGTGTGTGTGCGTGGCTCGTGTGTGCGTGTGCTCGTGTGTGCGCGTGTGCTCGTGTGTGTGCGTGTGCTCGTGTGTGTGCGTGTGCTCGTGTGTGTGCGTGTGCTCGTGTGTGTGCGTGTGCTCGTGTGTGTGCGTGTGCTCGTGTGTGTGCGTGTGCTCGTGTGTGCGCGCGTGCTCGTGTGTGTGCGTGTGCTCGTGTGTGTGCGTGTGCTCGTGTGTGTGCGTGTGCTCGTGTGTGTGCGTGTGCTCGTGTGTGCGCGTGTGCTCGTGTGTGCGCGTGTGCTCGTGTGTGCGCGCGTGCTCGTGTGTGCGCGCGTGCTCGTGTGTGCGCGTGTGCTCGTGTGTGCGCGCGTGCTCGTGTGTGTGCGTGTGCTCGTGTGTGTGCGTGTGCTCGTGTGTGTGCGTGTGCTCGTGTGTGCGCGTGTGCTCGTGTGTGTGCGTGTGCTCGTGTGTGTGCGTGTGCTCGTGTGTGTGCGTGTGCTCGTGTGTGCGCGCGTGCTCGTGTGTGCGCGCGTGCTCGTGTGTGCGCGTGTGCTCGTGTGTGCGCGCGTGCTCGTGTGTGCGCGTGTGCTCGTGTGTGTGCGTGTGCTCGTGTGTGTGCGTGTGCTCGTGTGTGTGCGTGTGCTCGTGTGTGCGCGCGTGCGTGCCCACCCACCAGGGACACCGAGTCCCCCGTGCCCCCGGCCGCAGCCATCTTGTTGACGCTGTTGACGAACTTGTTGACGTGCTCGAAGTGCTTGGTCATCTCCGTGGCCAGCACCATGTCGATGATGGCCTGGCGCAGCGTGCGGAACTCGCTCCTGCCACACACACACACGCGCCCCGCGTCTCTCCTCGCACGCCCCGCGTCTCTTTCAAGAGGCGGCAGTAGCAGTTGCAGCACTTCCAACATCTGCTCCGACAACAACAATCATCCGTGGAGCCACGGGGACGCAGAACGAGACCAAACGTGAATCCGATGGAGGAGCCTCGCCGTGCACCTCGCCTGGCCCGGCGCCGCCGTCACCTGTCCATGTTGCGGAAGATGTTGGCGGCGCGTTCGCGCGTGCTCAGCTGGAAGGCGAGCGCCGCGTGGTGGCTCTCCAGCACGGCCGTGTCGTTGTAGAGCACCGCCAGCTCGCTGCCCGCGTTGCACAGGAACGAGTTGGTGCGCCCCGGGTGGTCCACGTCGTGCACCGTGGCCGCGATGAGCGCCGCCACCTCGTCTGCCTGGTCCAAGCAGCTCTGGGGAGACGCACGTGGATGCGCACGTAGACACGCACAGAAGCATCAACAACTGCTCACGTGCATCCCAAGCTTCCCCTTGCAGAATTCGGTGCCAGCGAAGCGCGACTCTGAAAGAAGCAAACTCACCCACGCTCCTTGCTTGCAGGGTTTTGTTTTCCAAAGCAATATGTTAACAGACATACAAATGCTCAGTGCACTCCAAAGGCACAACCGCAGGAAAATGCAAACCAACACAATCACGGAATGTGTCGCATCAGTGTCAATGAGAGTTAAGAGTGCAGATGGCTAGTGGGAGTGTTCGGGGGGAACGGGGAGCCGGTCCATTGTCGGCTCATTGTCTGCTCATTGTGGACGCCTTGAGGAGCAAGACGCGGGCTTGTTGATGAATCCCCGCGGGCCCCGGGGGCGCCGACGCGAGCCGTGTTGTCGCCGTGACGCCTGCGCGCCCGTGTTTGTGAACGCCCGCGCCGCGGGAGTTCACCATCCGCACGTCCTCCTCCTCCTCCCCCAAGCCTCCTCCTGCTCCTCCTACTCCTCCTCCTCCTCGCGTGAAGGCATCACGGCGCCATGGCAACACCGCTCGAAACAGCCATGAGGTGACTTCCTGCGCATGTGGGGGGCGGTCGCTAGCGCCTCCGCCGTGGGGCGGAGGCCCTGACGGTCGCTCCTGCGTAAGAGCTGCATCCTGTTATTGTGACCCAGCCCAGCGCAGCTCCCCCCCGCCCCCCCCCCCCCCCCACGGCCTCCCCCACCCTCGCCACGGGAGGCCCATCGCCCTCCCCAGCCTGGCCTCGCAATCTCACACTACCAGCATGCGATGCGTCCCTCGATCTGCAATGCACCTCCGACAAACGGCCCAAATGTGGCGACGATGATGTTGGCGGTGGTGATGAGTACCTGCATGCACGCACATCTCTCCGCGTGCTGGCGTGTGTGTGTGGGTCATGTGCGCGTCTCCTTGTCTCCGTGTGCCTCCATGTCCCTGCGCACCTTCACCCACTTGGGCGCAGGAAGTACGCGGTGACATGCAGCACGTCGGCGGCGTGCGTCGGGTTGTGGTACGAGTTGCTCGAGTGGTAGTTAGGTGGTAGTTAGGTGGTAGTTAAGTGGTAGTTAGGGGTACCTTGACCCGCTCTTTGCGCAGGAAGTATGCGGTGGCGTGCAGCACGTCTGCGGCGTGCGTGGAGTTGTGGTACGAGTTGCTCGAGTGGTAGTTGGCCTCGATGAGGGACAGCCAGGCGCGCAGCGTCGCCTCCGAGCAGCCGAGGAAGTCGCAAACCCCGAAGCGCGCAAACACCTTGAGGCCCAGGTACACGAGCGGCCTGGCGTGCATGCACAAGCACACATACGAACAAAGACGCACTGCATTCGCATACACGTACAGACACACCTCACGGGGACACACGCTCACGGGGACATGCATAAGGACACAGACACGTACAGGTGCGGACACACACGCTTGTGCTGTTGAAATAGGCGTGTTCTGTAGGACCTTGTGAGACACATTGACACGCACACACACACACGCGCGTGTGTGCGGCCCGGTTGTGCATAAGCAGGAGATGGGCACGGAGGCTACTCCAATCCTCCTGCCTTTGCGTAAATCCCGTGGGGCACCATCGCGGCCAATTGCAGCGTTGTGTTTAATTGCGCAGTCCTGCACCACAGTAGTGACACCACAGTAGTGACACCACAGTAGTGACACCACAGTAGTGACAGTAGTGACACCACAGTAGTGACACCACAGTAGTGATACCACAGTAGTGGCACCACAGTAGTGACACCACAGTAGTGACACCACAGTAGTGACAGTAGTGACAGTAGTGACACTACAGTAGTGACACCACAGTAGTGACACCACAGTAGTGGCACCACAGTAGTGACACCACAGTAGTGACACCACAGTAGTGACAGTAGTGACACCACAGTAGTGACACCACAGTAGTGACACCACAGTAGTGACACCAGAGTAGTGACACTACAGTAGTGACACCACAGTAGTGACACCACAGTAGTGACAGTAGTGACAGTAGTGGCACCACAGTAGTGACAGTAGTGGCACCACAGTAGTGACACCACAGTAGTGGCACCACAGTAGTGACACCACAGTAGTGACACCACAGTAGTGACAGTAGTGACACCACAGTAGTGACACCACAGTAGTGACACCACAGTAGTGACAGTAGTGACACCACAGTAGTGACACCATAGTAGTGACACCACAGTAGTGACACTACAGTAGTGACACCACAGTAGTGGCACCACAATAGTGACACCACAGTAGTGACAGTAGTGACACCACAGTAGTGACACCACAGTAGTGACACCACAGTAGTGACAGTAGTGGCACCACAGTAGTGACACCACAGTAGTGACACCACAGTAGTGACACCACAGTAGTGACACCACAGTAGTGACAGTAGTGGCACCACAGTAGTGACACCACAGTAGTGACACCACAGTAGTGACACCACAGTAGTAACACCACAATAGTGACACCACAGTAGTGACAGTAGTGACACCACAGTAGTGACACCACAGTAGTGACACCACAGTAGTGACACCACAGTAGTGACACCACAGTAGTGACACCACAGTAGTGTCAATAGTGACACCACAGTAGTGACACCACAGTAGTGACAGTAGTGACACCACAGTAGTGACACCACAGTAGTGACACCACAGTAGTGACAGTAGTGGCACCACAGTAGTGACACCACAGTAGTGACACCACAGTAGTGACACCATAGTAGTGACACCACAGTAGTGACACCACAGTAGTGACACCACAGTAGTGTCAATAGTGACACCACAGTAGTGACACCACAGTAGTGACACCACAGTAGTGACAGTAGTGACACCACAGTAGTGACACCACAGTAGTGA